CACGTGGCGCCGTGCGATGGGAGCACGCGGAGCTGAGCGCAGGAGGAGAGGGGAAAGCGTCAGAGCGAAACGCTGCTGCTCAGCACGGAGGGAGAGCTTTGTTTTCTCCTCGTTTTGAAATACTGGACGCAAACAGAAAACGACGGAGTTCTGTCAAGCCAGCAGAGTCCTGCGAGTCCCCCAGCGGCAAAAGGAACGGCGGGGTTTTCCCCACTGCACTGTGTAAATCTGACGGGGTTGAAGAGACTAAACAGAGCGGCGCGGACTTGGGAAGGAAAGCTGACTCTATTAATCCCCGTGCCCCTCCCGACAGCATCCTCTAGGTGGGCATCTTCCTTCCTGTTTGATAACATTTGGAAATCAAAAAGACAAGCGATGGATGTGGTGACAGAGGGGCTATAATACAGTCTGCGTTACTAAAAGGCAATTCTTCAAGGACGCTTCCTTTAAAAAAAATAATAATAACAACAAGACAGCAAACTAGTTTATACAGTACTATACGCAAAAAAGGGTAAAAGAATTAACAATTCATAAATAAAAGACAGGTCCCAGACCTGTTATTTGTGAACCATTTTCTTAAATAGGTGCATTATGTAAATCTTATGTACAACAAAATTACTTTGCATAACAACTGTGAGGACACGGGGCGAGGGGCTGGAAATCAGATTGCGTTTGGTTTTCTTCTCTGGAGATTTTTGTTAAGTTTGATTTTTCTGGAGCAAAATTGGTCACAGAGGAGTTCGGGCTGGATGGGTGCCAGCCAAGGAAACCCAGGTAAATAATGACAAATGAATATATATATTTTTTTTCTCCACACGGCATAAAACACAAAGGCAAATAAAATCCACAAAGGTGTTTTTTTTCTTCCTCTTTATAATCCTCTTTGCTGCTGCTACAAAGTCCTTTTATTTTTCTTTTTCTTTCTTTTTTTTTTTTTTAATTCTTTTTTTTTTTTTTTTTTTTTTTTAAAGATTTTCTCCTTTTCAATTTAAATAATGCTGATTCCGAAATCACAAAGCTGCAAGGATTCGGGTCCAGGCCTGCTATGTCCCGACACACACAACTCCTCCGCCTCACACCACGACCTTCCCACCACGTCCCAGCGCTCAGCCACTCTACAGGAATTAACCAAAAAGTTATTTCTCCGGTTTGTTTTTTCTTTTGTTTGTTTTAAAAATCTTTTCCTTCCCATCAGAAGCAAAAGAGAGTCGGAGGCAGGCAGAGTTCACCAGGCTTCGGTGTAACGAACGTCCACTTCTTTCAGGTTGGGCAGTTTGGCCTGTGTGGGGCAAGAGGAGAAAGTCAGAGTTAATAACGTGTGCTCAGGATTCCAGCTCTGCTACAGCAGCAGCAGTGAGCAGAGCCCAGCCCCTATTTCTACTACAAGCACTCAGCTGCAGCTGTGACTGCAGCGGACCCAAAGCGCACAGCCATGCTCCGTGCTGCATCACTGCCTGATTCCTCCCTCTGTTTGTTACACAAACGCTAACAATTTTTGGTGCCACAGAGTCACAGAATGGCTTAGGCTCGAAGAAAGGACCTTAAAGATCTCCCAGTTCCAACCGCTGCCATGGGCTGGTTAATAACCACCAGCTCAGGCTGCCCGGGGCCCATCCACAGCCGTGGGCACCTCCAGGGATGGGCAGACATCACTCTGGGCAGTGCAAACATCTCACTGCCCCAAGTAAAGAATGTCTTCCCTACACCTCAACTAAGTATCCCCGTCCTAGTTCAAAGCCGTTCCCCTTTGTCCTATCACTAGTACACCATGGTCTCCCTTCCACAACTCCAGAGCACTGAGGCTCTCTGCTGGGTGGCCACTGGCTGTTTATTTTCCTCCTACATGCTGGTGCCGCTTCCTTGCTTCCTGTCCAGATCCATACAGCTAAGTCTCCAAAATCAAACACGTTTAATTAGGCTGGGGCATAATTGAGGAGTTGGAAGTTTCTAGGAGTCGTTATTACCTCACCCCATGATTTATGTACGCACATATTTTGATAAGAGCTAGTCATAATCCTACAGACACTGCCAGCAAATAATTTTTCAGTTAGGCAATAATGACTTCAGTGGTGGGTGTTTATTTATTGTCTGTTTCAGCCCGCCTGGTACATACGGGGGTGTCTGTGTGTGCAGTGTGTGGTGGGGCAGGGAAGAAATGTCAACCCCGGCTCGTGCCCCAGTGCTCCCACAGACCAAAGGGAGAAGAAGGGAAGATTTGTATCGAAAATGAGTTCTTTGAAGGCCAACTTGTTCTCAACAGACCTGTAAGCACACGGCCCAGGGAGAAAAGCTATTCCCCTCCCTCTGAGCACGCGCAACACTCCCAATAACCACCAATATTAACCTCAGTGAAAGAAGGGTGTGGGGGGAAATGCGACACGCGCCTGTTCTCTCAGCTTCGTTAAATCTGTGCAATTGTCCGGGCTTTGCTCCTTGTTGGCTTTGCTGTTTGCCCTGGCAGTCACTTTCTTTCACTGCTGCTGAGGACTGGGTCATGCAGTATCAGAGCAAAGGGAAGCAGTTTGGAAAATGTGAGCTTCAGCCTCAAGTGAGCAGCAGAGGGGCTCAGAAGCAGGCTAAGGCTGGGCCAGCCTTTCAGTAGACTTCCCTCCACAGCCCTGGACCAAACGCAGCACTGACCCTGATTGTCTGCAAAAGCTTGGCGCCCGATACAAGCTCCATTGTGTGAACCCATCTGCAAGCCAGCTGTTAATTCCAAGGATTTCTTTGCATATACAATTGTGACACAAGTTTTGAAAACTTCATCTTGAAAAATCAGTGCTAGCAACGTTGCAACTGAGTCTCTGGAGAAAACCAGGCTCCACAGCCAGAATTGAAGATATACATTTGCAGTGAATTTTGAAAGCAGAGCAGTTTCAGGACTTGCCACAAGTCTGAAGCTCGACCCAAGGCTGTGACCTTTTTGAGTAAACCTGGCACAATCTCAGGTTTCAACACACAAGACAATATAATTTAGAGTTTCATCTTGAGCACTCAGGTTGGTAAGGTAAGAGACGTGACTCATGTAACACCAGAGTGAAGAAAAAGTCCATGGGAAGTCATGAAAGCCAACACATCTCAGTCAGTCTTTGCCTGAAACCACCTGGGGCTGTTCCCCTCCCACAGCTGTTCTCGTTCTTTACCATCTCACTGAAGCAGTTGTAAATTCATGGTACAAATGATAACACCAGACTTCTTACATCTCACACCCAAAGGAACCAGGCACTTATGCAGATGTTTCTGTTTAAAGCACAGTTCCAGCCCAAGAGGTGTCAAGATTAACTTGCACCTTCCCCAATGTCTTTCATTCCCTCTTTGCACTGTGAATCAAAGCTTCGCAGTGCTGCTCATCAACATTACTTCTGTTCCTGCTCATAGTGTAGAAGATGACTTTGGAGGTGTGCACCAGATTTCCCTCTTTATGCATCCCCATTGGAAACAACCATTATGCTCTTATTAAAATTTATAGCTCTGGCAAAAAAAAGAACTTGGCTTTTGCTCCCTGTTCTCCATAGTACTCATTGACTCAACAGACTAAACACTCCTCGAGTCCATCATAGCCAGCAACCTCAGGACGCAGCTCTCAGTCATTATCCCCCCAAAATAATCCACTCCTTCCTCTTCAGATGATGGCCACCCATGCCACCAGCCCAGTGCTCTCTGTGCTAGGCACTACCAACATGCATTTGCCAAGTCTCCCGGGCAAGCCACTGCTCATCTTTAGCAGACAGAAGTCAGAAATACCTTGAGATCTTCATAGGTATCTGCTGAAAGTTTGGTGCTGTTCATGTTTAAACTACACAGGCTCTTCATGGCTAAAAGAGAAAATACACAGGTATTCAGGATCATGCTGCCTTTTCTTAAAATATCAGTTTTACAGTAGGCCAAAGCATAAACAAAACATGACTGTGTGTCTCAGAAAAAGCTGAATAGTGTAAAATATAGAACTACAAATGGATAAGCAGCTGCTTGGGCCCTCATCCAGGAAAAAGTCGCTACTTAGGAAGGGCTATTAAGCATATGCTTTAGTCTGCTGACTTCAAAGGAGTTCAAGGAACTTCTCATCATCAGCTTCCTGCACATTATTCTGAGCAGTTCTCAGTGCTCTGCTTGTTGTGCACAGGGGGCACGCTGGTCCAGCAGCCCTTCTCCCCCCGACCTACTTCCATTTTGGGCTCCAATACTTAGCAGAATAGTTTCCTAAGAGGAGCTTTAACTACTGGCCTGTCTGGCATGTCTGTGTAAGATCAAGCCTATTAAAGGAGCCCTTTAAACCCAGTAGGAAAGGTTTATAATTCACTGCTGGACATAGGAAAGAGTCTTATCCTGGCACATGACGCAGCATTTGGTACAGAGGGGAATCCTGAATGTTGCTCAGACAACCCCAGTCTGCCTTGCCCTACTTAGCTCTGATATTAAACCACATGAGAACAGCCTGAGCCTCTTCCTCAAAAAGAAGGAGCAAAACATGTCAGAGATGTGGAACCTGCCGCACACAGTCGCTAAACTCATTAAAAAGATGGTCTGTGGCTCCTGCCTGGAGCAGGGAGTGTGAAAATGGCTGGGAAGTCCCAGGGCAAAGGTCATGTTGCGAGATGGAGACAAATGACATCAATACAGCTGGAGGCAAGAGGGAGAGTACACTCTGGGACAGAAAAAATAAAACCACAAAGCACCACAGCAGGCTCAGACGACAGCGCTCCTTTCCTTGCCTGCAGCCAAGAACTAAAGCTGCTGTCTGAACCACGTGAATTCCCCTGCACCCACGTGGCTTTCGGCTCGCTTTGGTCACTTACAACTAAGGGCCAGCAGCCCAGCATCCGTGACAGGCGTCTCGCACAGGTTGAGCACTTGCAGCATCGTGAGGTGTTCAGACAGGAGCCGCAGCCCTGCGTCTCCGAACTGCAGGGGCAAGCAAAGTTGTGTTCAAACAGTGTTCAAACAGTGTTCAAACAGTGCTCAAACAGTGTTCAAACAGTGCACGGACATCATTGCGCAGACAACGCACACTCAGAACTGGGGCTGAGCTCAGGTTGTTTACCTGAATCTCCAGCAACACGAGAGAAAGCAGATAGTTCTATTTGTATTTTGTGGATGGGGAATAGAAAAACTAACTTGTGCACGGTTGCAGATAATTGTTGTGGGTTTGAATACAGGTCTGCTTACTGGCTACCCAGTGCTTAACCACAGGACACCACTTAATTAGAGCAGTGCCTCAGAAGTCAGGACTTTGTATGAGAGGGCTCCCTCCCTCCCAGGCTATACAAGATGGCTATGGCAGTCCCAGCCAGCTCCCAGCCACATCACAAAAAGCCTAAGAGGCAAGTGGTATTAATTAGTTATTTTGGTCTCAAGAACAATGTCCTATTGATTAGTAATTGTTCTATTGACCCACTTCGTTTCTGCTGGTTCTAAATTCTCAATTAATGGAAACCAGGATATCACAAAGTAAAATGGAATCTCAGCTCTTTTTTATCACACAAAACGCAGCTCTGCGCCGAGCGAAATCACACTGTTTTCAGATGCAGAAGTTACACTGCTGGGACAAATCCAGAGGAGACAGATACAAGATAGCCTGGAAACTTGCAAGGAATCAGATTCTGCTTCTTACTCCCCAGACAAAAAGGGGAAATTTCTGAGGTATAAAAATAGTTAGGAAAACAAGGCAAGATATTTACATGACATTTCAGTGAAAAAAAAGTACTGCCTGTTGTGGCTGCACTGGGAACATTCATATTTTCAGTAAGCACTACAAATAGGTGCTAATAGAAAACGGGGAAAAACTCTTGAGGGGAGATCTCAGAGACCAAAACCAGCAGGGAATTGCAGAAGAACAAATTTACTTTAAAAACTCTTTCCATTAACTGCTCAATGATTTATTCAGTTAAGCAGCCCTGTTTTTGCTTACAGGATAACTACATTCTCATTACAGTTTCCTTATATTTATTCATTATTTGAGTTTATTTTCTTGCTGTTTTTGAGGAAATTTTAGTTGACCAGCATTCAGGGCCATTCACTACCTACAATACACAGCCTGTCTGCTTTGCTTGACCAGTTAAGCTGCACAGTGATCTTTTTTTGTGTTGGTTTTTTTTTTTGTGTGTCCTGAATGGGTGAAAGCATAAACTCTTCTCCAACAAACAAACAGCAGTAGGCATACTGTGAACTACGCAGTTCCAACAATGCCAAACTGGTGCTTCCAACCCCAGACAAATGCAATCCTTTAATAATTAAAACTGAATTAAAACTTAAAATAAAAATTACAAAAAAATGAACCCTGGGGATAAGGCAGACCATTTTTTATAGGCCCTGTAAAAACAGCATGAAGGCAAACTCATTCCAAGCAAACCTCTTCACACATTTGTCTCATGCTGACGTAACGTGAAATTTCAGAATTAATCAGCACGGGTTCCTGCTCTGAGTTTCAGTCTGCAAAGCACTTACCTGGGTTGACCACAGGTTCAGCTGCTTGAGTGAAGGCAATTTAATGAGGTGCTCAGCACAAGCACTTGTTACATTGGTAAAGGCCAGGCTGAGATTTTCCAAATTTCCAAAAGATCCCGAGCTTAGCAAGCGGGCCAGGTCTGCATCCTGAAAGCAAACATCAGATTGATGAGCAAGATTATCAACTCCTCAGCCTGCAATCATCTGCAGTGGTGTCGCTGCTCCTGCTAACCAGCACAGATTGCACAGTTCCACCACTTGTTTACAGCAACAGAGAACCACACAGAGAAGTTTCTGTTTGTTGGCAAGCAGCTGGGCTCTTGTGGCAGCATTGCTTCACACACCCTGGGAAAAATGCATCCAGACAGTAGGACAGAAATCTTCTTGGAGTGCGTATCCTTACGAGACACCAAGGCATGAGTTTCAGAACTAACTCCAAAGATGAGCTTCTCAGCTTAATGCAGATGTCACTGCACATCCTAGACCCACACTGGGCTCTGATACGCTACCTGGGTTTCAGTGATGCTGCTCTGGGTTTACAATGCCCTTAAACTGCACCAGAGATGGACCTCTTTCAGCAGAAGTCAGTGTGTAAAATGTAGAAGTGCACATTATTAAGTCTGCTTTTTTAAATGCAAAATCTGGTTCTCAGATCTATATTTTGATTGAATTACACATTCCAAGCCTGTGCACCACTGTAAACCTGACGACCTGCTGCTTGTACTGGCATTGCACGCTGCTGCAAGAACAGCAATGTGCCCTTGCTCATGTAAACCCCAGTCATGTTGACAGAGCAAGTGGAAGGGCTCCTCTCTTCACTGACCAAAACCACTGTGCCACATGGCAAACATAAATCAAGTGTTTAAATATGGAAAGACAAAGCTTGTTTTTTTTTATTGGCAAGATTAACTTACTGTGGACTTTGATGGCAGTGTTAACCTCGTGGGACCACCTTTTCTTTGCTGCAAGAGAGAAGATATTTTGGTCAAAGAGATTGCCAAATTACATTTCAGACCAACTGAAGCAGAGGGAGTTTTTCCCTAAAATGAACCCTGCTCTGATTTCAAAGCCCCCTGCCAGCCCTTCCACCCCTTCCCTGCTTTTTCTGCACCAACAGACTTTTCCTGTGCATGCCAGATGCCTCCCCGGGGACCGCAACTAACCACAGCCAGTGGTCTTCATGCCATGGGTCAGCATCTCTGCTTCAGCCTCTGACTGTGCAGCTGATAAAATCATTTACTTCACTATAAAAAACACATTCTTTACAGGCTGAAAGCAGGGGATCAAAGAGGAGAAATACAAGTAAGAAAAAAGGAAGAGGAAGACCACGGGTACATTTGCAGATGAAGTGCTAATGAGAGCAGATTTATCTACTGCCTGTGGACCCCATCTTTAAAATTAGGAAAAATTTGTGATGTGAACTAGACCTCAGAGAAATGTTCCGAATGTCAAAGCATTAAGAAATGCTGGCCAGCACTAGGACCATTTGCTACTCACATGTCAAAAGGTGGCAGAATTTGACAAGCTGACTTATAAGATTTTAAGACAGCAAGATTTCACCCCTTTTCTATCACACAGATTCCAAGCAGCTTCCTGATTATCACTCAGAAACCTAGTATGGGATCAGATACTTCAGCAAATATCACACAGCATATACATTCACAATGGGATCCCCTGAACACTGCTCCCATCCTGTTGTTAACCAGGAATTTCACACCCTGCTTGTCTTTCTTTTGTACCTCCATTTCTGGCGAGTACAGACCACAGTGTGCTATGGCAATACTGCATGCAGGGTGACATACCAGCTCTTTTAACTCCCTCTGCCTGTCACACAGCTGTTCATACATTCTCTTTCCCACGTCTGTGCTTTCCAGAGTAGAGATGATCTGGAGCTGGGTGTCATTATTATCGATGATGTTGTATTCCAGCATCAAACACAAAATCTAGCAGCAGAATGAAAGAAGAGCAGTCACTGCAGTGCTTGCATTCATTTTTTTCCCAAATATTCTAATTCACCTGGGCATGCTAGTTTAAATTACTGGGTATGTTTTTAGAGGATGCATTATAGAGGCTAGACTGGGGGAGATCTTAACATTTACTGACTTCCCAGTACAAGAAACACATTTTTTTATTGTAAAGAATGACCTCCAGTCTCTGAAAGTCACCCTATCTATCCTGGCTTCCATTAGTGCTCATTCCTTCTGACCAAGAGGTGCAATTACTTTGCATCAGTGCTGGAAGATGGCTTCATGCCACAGCCCTCATCAGAACAGGTACAATCGATTCGGTATTTCCCAGCTACACTGGCTGGACTGCTGAGTAGCAGATTTGGGATATTAGGCATGAGCAGTAGAGCCAAGCAGCCAGCCAAGTGCTGGATTTTCTGTCCCGAAGAGCTGGGCTTTATGTACCAACAAAGTGCATGTGGAGTGCACCCAACATACGATGGGGAGAGGTTTGAGAGGTTTGAGAGTGAAAATGGCACGGGGAGCTGAATGTTGCAGCCTGACATCCTCCATCACTGGGACTGTGCCTGATGCCCCAGAAGCAAGGCAGACCCCAGCAGATGCTTCAGTGGGACACAGCCTGTACTCTCCATGCTGCCCTTCATTTTCAGCTACTTATGTCATTGAAGCTATGGAGGCAATAAAAGCTTTCCATTTTAATTGCAGGTACTTTTTAATGAAGATAAGTAACATTAAATTGCAAAACATTGTGACTTCTTCCACTCAGTTAATCAATTTCTATTTCCCTTTGGCATTTATTAAGAAACTTCTCTGAAGGAATACAAAAAATAATATTTGCTATTAATGCAAGAAAAATAACATGTCCTAAACACTGAAAATACAAGTAAATACTTTTGATAAATGCACTTTCTTTCAGTGCTGATTCTGCAGGTGGCAGGACAAGCATTGAGCATTTAGTCACAGAAAGTCTCACTGCTCTGAATTCTGATCCCCTGCTGCAGCCTGTGCTTTCATTGCCATTTATTTCCCATCACTGTCCCTCCAAGTGGATTAGAGCAAACAATCCCTTTGTCCAAAAATTCTTGCACTCACCTCTCATGTAATTCACACATATCTGCAGAGCAACAATATTTCACAACACAACTGCCTGCTACTGGTGTTTGATACGACAGACTTGAACTCAGCTTCTCTAGTTCCATGGGATCTAATTCTGGAGAAGGCAGTGTGAAACTGAATCTTAATGCTGCTCATTAACTGTATGATTATATATGTTACGGGCTTACCTCTACCATCGTCTGGTTACCCCTCAAGGCCAGCAGCATGCAAGGTCCTAATTTATTTTCAGCCAGCGAAAGCAGAAACTTCTTTGTTTTATAGCAAGATCCCATTAGAATATGAACCTATTTGAGAAACAAATAGCTTAAATTAGAAGTGTAAGCCTAAGAAACACATATCTAGAATGGACACTGTTATGCACTCAAACAAACACAAGTGCTTGTGACAAATAAAGAAAAGGAGGTCTCCACTGTTATTAGGGCTGCAGTTTCTTTGTAGCTGTATAGCTGACTAGAAGTCAGTTTTTGAACAAGGTAATGCCTGGAATGATGGGAGGGAATGGGTAGCTTTCTCTGCAAAGCAGCCCAGCTGACAGCCTGATAAAATCTCTGCAAGAAATATCGGAGCAGCTGTGCAACTGTCCCCATCCCATCCCTAGCAACACAATGACCCCAGCTCCAGGGGAAGCACAGGAGAATTTGTTTTCCTTGCTGTTTGCAGCTCAGTTTCTCTGGAAATGCCAGCTGGAAATCAAGGGTTGTAAGGGCTGTATGTAAAAATGGTGCTGGCAATGTGCAGGCTGAGCACTAGCCTTGGGTAAGGAGTGGTGACGGAGAAAATCATCTCTCAAAGTGAAGAAAATCATCTCTCAAAGTGAAGAAATGGTGAGGAAAGGAAGAAGTGCCCAGTGAAAATCCAGCAATCCTCAACCTTATGTTCCTGTAAGTCAGAACTTCATTTGCTCTACCTGGGCCATTGTCTTCCTTTCCCTTTTGCTTTATTTGCCCTGAAAGGAAAGACATGCTGAGAAAACTCCTCAGGAAGACTCCTAGCAGACAGAAGTGTTCTGCAGACACTCTCCTGGCACCAGATAGAATGGAAGATACCACACAGTGACATCCATAGCTGAAATGCAAAGCTACTCATACCAATCGAAGTCTCATCTCACAAGAGGATGGCAATGTCCTTTCCCATTTAAAAACCCTAGAGATTAATTTCAGAAGATTTTGGGTTCCCAGCTGAAAGTTTCATTTTATGGCCCAGGTGGCTGATTCACCAGCTTGCTGGCAGAACACAATGTGTAGTTTCTAGTGACCTGGGCACTAAGAGGTCCACCATGTAGAATACCAGAACCCTTCTACAAAAAGCTTGTAAATCATGTTCCTTGGTCCACAGTGTTGCCTGAGCTATGTTCAATACTACTGAAAATACCACAGTCATTCCATGATGAGGTCAATTCTAAAGAAGATCAAGTGTTATCACACAACTCCTCTTCCTTATGGCTGCACTACCAGCATTACCAAGAAGGCCTTTAGAACACCTTTAAGGAAGTGAGCTTCAAGCTAAGAAAGATTTTACTTTATGCAGTCATTAGCATTAAGATTTTTGGAGGCTTTCTTAAGTGATGGAAAATACTGATGCTAAGACTAATATAAAGCCCATCTCAGAACAGGATGTTTTTTGGATTTTATGATTAGTCATTAGCAGCTCTTTAAGTATTTATCAGCATCTCTGCAAAAGGCATAGAATACTGCATATTAATGTATGTTAGCATTGTGCTTTCTCATGCACACCACCTCCTGATGCTTATAAGTATCATGGACCACAAAAGCTCTCAGGATAAATGATTTAGTTCTGGACATATATATATATATATATATATTGCAAACATAAGAAGAAAAGCGAAAACAGATGAACCCTTCTGTGAACAGTCTTTGCCCACTCTTTCACAGGTCAATCTGAATTTAAGAGAACAGGCATGTCCTAAAATGTTCAGTATGAGTTATACATATATATTTTTAAATGCAAGTAAAACTTTTTGTTGCCAGCTACGCATTACCTACTTACTGCAAACAAGTTACTAAGCCCATGTTATTGCAGACACATACCATACTGGCAAACAGCTCTCCATCATCATCACACGCCACTCCTCCAGGGCTGTAGAGCTGGAACCAACCATCTTTGCCAGCCCGCACACTCAGCAAACATGAGTGGACCTGCCAAAAAGCAAAGACATTGGGAAGGTTACAGACCCTGTCAGTAATCACCAGTGTCTCCCACACTGCACCAATAGAGGTAACCCTGCCTACCTGGGGTCTACTGGAAGTTTCATGGTTAATATTACAATTTACACGTTAGGAAGTCTTCACACACAGAAACCCTTTCTTTACACTACAAAGAAGGAGGGAAGCTATGCCACTGTTAATCGCATGCCCTTTTTTATTTGCTGTACAGGAATCAAACACAAAATGGGTCTAATCTAGAACAGCTCCTTTTACTTGGAAATAAAAATGCAACAAAAAAGAAAAAAAAAGCAGCCTAGATTTCTGAGCTTCTGCCATTCTGCCCCTGCTCTCCCAGCATGTGTCTACACTTCTGACGTGATACAAATACTGAATGCAGTGGCGGATGGCTTGCTCATTCCAATCATGTACAGTTCTCATTTCTCCTGCTGTAATAAGACTTATTAGAGTCAGGATGAAGGAAGCCAACACAGAAAACTCAACAGGAATACGTAAGGTGGAAGTTGCACAGAAGAACTGGTACATATAAACTGGTGTACAATCATTTGTCTAAATTTGGCCCACTAGAATGATTACTATATCTACTCTCACATTCTAACAGAAGTATCACCATGAAGCTTTCTTCCTTTTTTTTTTTCCCTGAAGGGACACAGAAATTACGTTCTAATTTTTGAGGAGGTGGGGGTAAGGTCCATGCACCCTCACTTGGGTACGCAACAATAGAGATGAAATCCTGATGTCAGTCTAAAACAAGAAGGTCTTTGTTATCCAACACAGGTGACTATTGCTCACAAAAGCTGAAACACTGAACACGTTGAGTCTGGGCCATGACGACAATGTAGGCTCCTCACCCACAGTTCAGGCCAGCTTTCTCTCCTTTGTGCTGACACCAAAAATGAATGCAGATGAGAGGTTCTCTCTGATTCAGCCAAAGCTGCTCACGTTAAACAAGTTACATATGTAGCTAGGAAGCAGTCAGCCACCGAGAGGCTACAGCTACACAGTCATCCCAGTAACGTGCCTCCTACCCTCTTTCTCCTGCTGATTTACGTGAATTACGGTCATTTGCAGACAGTGTAACTTAAAAAACAGCTAAGTAAAACCTGTCATTTTTTGAGCTGCATGGATCCATGCATTTTGCTTCCCTTTTTTCATATGAAAGATGAAATACTGGGAGAGAATCTAGAGACTGGTTGCAGTTTACTGCAGAGCAAGGACATTAACTGTGCTCAGGCCAGAAGGTCACAAATGTATGTTCATACATAAGACAAGAAACCACTCATAGAACAGTATCGGAGTGGGTATTTCTCCCTAGAGCCTCAAGCACAGCCAAAGCACACATTTAGAAACAGACCTCTTAAGGAAGGACCTTCTGAACGAGATCCTTCCAATTAATGCTCTGGGCAAACGGGCAATAAACTTACTTCTTGTCTTGGGTCTTCTGCAAATCTCTGAATCACGTATTTCAGCTCTCTACAAAAGAGAAAAAAAAGAAAAAAGAAACGTAAAAGGACAAGTACAGGCAGCTGTTGCTTGCAGTACTCACAAAAGTGTCACAGCTCCCTTGGATTACTCTTTACACAATATATATTCATGTACTTTAGAGAGATAAAAGTCAAGCTGCTTCCACAGAAGGAAATATGAAGTCTGAAAGTGATCACTAAGAAGAGAGTCTATTCAAAACAGTCTAGAAAAGCTTTCAGAGATGTGCAGTGACAAACTGGTTTGTAAACTCTATCAGAATCCAGTGCCTTTAGTCCTTGGGCTCCTGCTGTCACAGTAAATTACAAAGAAAAGTACATCTTTTTATTGCTAACAGAACATGCTCACAGCACCACACAGATAACAAACCTCAGAGATACAATATTGAATAATACATCACTACTGCTATTGACTAGAACAAGTTTTTTAAATAATTGCTCCCCTTAACAAAACAAACAAGCATCAACTTACTTTGTGAATTTCTCGTGTGCAAGTGCCCTGAAATTTAAAACAGATAGGTATGAGAATTTGGGAAGAGGAAGGGGGAAAACAAAACAAAACAAAACACAACACACTTTTCAGTTCATTCCAGATAATAAATGGACTTAGTAGACACAAACACAACACAACACAAAAGGCAAAAAGAATAATCTTTCAAAAAAATACCAGGTAAAGCATCTTTCCATTAACATCAGAGGGACCTTAGGGTCAGATGGAATCAAACAAAAGACTAGCAAAACAGCTACATAATTATAAACAGAATTTTGGCTACCTCCAACAGCCAGATGAATACTCAAACTGCACTGCAATTAAGGTATGGTCACACCTAATTAACATCATACATCAGGAAAACAAGTAATGGTCATTCTATGAGGTGTTTTGCTCATGGTGTGGCTTACAGCTCTCCCAGGGCTCAAATTTAACTTAGGTAAATCATGCCTCTGTTGCCTACTACCAAGCTCTTGCTGTAGCCCAGGTAACCTGGCACAGAGGATTAGACTTCTCTGATTCAAGACATTAGGTCATTAGGGGATGTGATAAGCCAGCAAATTGTACAATTATAGGTTGTAATGTTTGTCCGTGGAAGTCTGCATTTTATGAACACAACTGCTCATTAACAGGTTTCTGAGGGAGCCAGGCTGATCCATAGGGTAGCTTCTTCACATAATTCTAAGTATAAATGATACAAGTCTCTGTCACACCAGTAAAGCATCTTCCTCTACTACACCTCTCACTTAGCTCTCCTCACCAGCTCTCCTTTCTTCCTTGCCTGTTAACCATTTTGCTCTTCAGGGTCCTCTTAAAGAAATGAGGATGGGGAAGACTTCAAGTATCTCCATATCAGTAAATTCAACTCTATAATCTAAACTTATACTTGGGGCACAAAGTTCTTCTTATCATCATGTTTTACACTATGTTGCACTATAAAACAACAGGAATGCAAATAATCAAGTAAATGCTAAGACAGAACAAACTTACTCCTTGGGAAATGGGATAGGTTGAAGCAAGCTGGCCAGGGCTGGTCTCCAGTCATCATAGTCTGACCTGAAAAAGGAACATTTTTCTCAATAAGATAGCATGTATGGAATATGGTTTGTCAGCAGTTGGTTTGAGGAATAAAAACTATCTTACTGCAGGCACTAACAGCTCTTCTGCTGTAGTGAGACACTGCTCCAAAGATCCGCAGTGACACTGCCCTTTCCATTTTCAGCACATTCTCCACTGAGGCACAATAAATCTGGTATTTACAATGACCTCTAGAGAGGTCTTCTTTATGTCAACTTAAAGACATTTGCTGTTTATGAAACCTGTTGACATTTAATCGCTAAGTAATACTTTCATCTAAGTTGGTGCAGCAATTACCAGGCCATTGCTATTTACAGCTCTGCTCTGCATTTAATTGGAATTTATTTTCTTTTGCTAGAAGGCATAAGTCCAGTTGTGGAAACAAAGATAATCCCTCATTTTTAACCTACACATACCAAATACAATTTTACGGTCTGATTTATAAAATAATGACATGACATACATCTGGTACTACTTTCTTTTGTATGCTTTCACTCAGAACTTTTCTAAAGATTGCTGTGCACATTCACAACTCATTAACCTTTTTCTCCTCCTGCTTCAAAAACAGTTACTGTTACTATATTCCTGCACAGCAATACGCAAGAAAAAATGGGCAGCAACCTGTTACAGGAACCAGAGCTTGGGAGAACAGGAAGAGAGAGAGGAGAGGAGAGGAGAGGAGAGGAGAGGAGAGGAGAGGAGAGGA